GCCTAATCTCTTTCGATAGAGAATCAAGGAGGGTGGAGAAACTGAATAAAGAACAGCTTTCCATGAACCCACTACAGTGAGAGAAAGGGGATTACAAAGTTTCCAGTGAAATTTTAGTGAGGGGGGGACACTGGGAGAAATTTTTAATCTGGCAAAGCAGACGGTGCTACATTCCCTACAGAAACAGGTTGACTTTGTTTATTCCCGTTTGCAATCTGGATCTAAAAGCCCTTTGATCAGATTTCCGTCTCCACGCGCAGCTTTCTAGCGCCATCTCTAGAGGATGAGGAGTACTACATCCCTTCCTTCCTTCCTTCCTTCCTTCCTTCCTTCCTTCCTTCCTTCCTTCCTTCCTTCCTTCCTTCCTTCCTTCCTTCCTTCCTTCCTTCCTTCGTCTGGCCATTCATCTTACAAATGCAACGCTAGATGGAGTTTGAAAACAATACTTACCCCCGTTCTCTCTCTCTCTCTCTCTCTCTCTCTCTCTCTCTCTCCCTCCCTCCCTCCCTCCCTCCCCCCCCCCTCTCTCTCTCTCTCTCACACACACACACACACACACGGACCAAGCTAGGGGAATGAAATCCCAATGCATGTTATTTGCTTGCTGGCTGGCTTATTTAGGCGACCCAAGCCACCCTTGCAGCCAAAAGAGCGGCGGCACAGAAAAGAATTCTCTCTCAAAGTCTGCCGTGCAAACACGTCTGGCGTGATTCGGGGGGGGGGGGCGCAGAGGCCAGGTCAGTTTCGAGAGCCGAGTTCATAGCGCCGGCAGGGAGAATATAAGGCAGGTGGCGGAGACCCCCTGATTGAAACTGGAAGACAACTCAGACAGTAGATCCGGGACGCCCAACCCGAATTGCAAACGGGCCAGAAATGGGAAGCCAAAGTTGGGAAGGGCTGACTGGTCGTGGGGACGGGTTAGCGTGCGTATTTTCTATCCCCCGCTCGGCTTTGCAGATTTTCAGAAAGAAAATCAGCAGAATTAAGGCCTTTTGGTTTGCCTTTCCACACACACACACACACACACACACACACAGAGAGAGAGAGTGGGGGGAGGGAGGAAGAGAGGGAGAGAGAGAGAGAGAGAGAGAGAGAGGAGGGGGGAGGGAGAGAGACACAGACAGACAGATGCTCCGGCTGCTTCTTTTTCCAACTCTGTATTTAGCCAGGAAAGACTCCGGAGTCACTTCTGTTTCTTTGACTAGCTTGTCGGAACGGCGGCTTCTCGAAAGGGCTCAAGAAGCTGACTCGGAAACTCCCCCAAGCCTCTTTCAGAGGGGGAAAAAAAGAAGTTTATTCAGGTCTTCAGCCGCGGCTAATCTGCTCACGTTCGGGAGTAAAGCCCTGCGCGCCTCAACTCCGGATTCCCGCTGAAACGTTTCGGTCCCCGGAGATGTTTAGCCAGCTAAAACTCGCGGGGCTGGGTGTCCCTTGGAGGCCGAGTCGCCCCCGGGCCTGGGCCTGCCCAGAAAGACCCCTCCCCGCTCCACCGGCCGTCGTTTTGGGGGGACCCTTTCAATTTCTTTCGCGAAGCCTTCTCTGATAGATCCGGACCGACGTCGGATTTGTGCAATCGATTCCAGCCGACCGTTGAAGTTCAGGAATGAAATGGGGGGGGGGTTGTCCATTAGCAAATGGGCAGATTTCAGTCTTGAAGGAGGATTTAATTCCCCGACTTTCCTTCTTGAGACTGGGTATTTTTCAGTGGACTTGAGTTCTAATCCAGAAGTTGGAACCATGGAGAGATCACCTTTGTATATAGGATTATACAGGTATGCATATATGGAACCAAACATGGGTGATGTGTAGGAATAATGGAGCCCCCTCCCCTCCCCTCTTCCACGAGCTTACACCAACTATTGTTGTTGTTAATTGCAAAGTCGTGTCCGACTCATCGCGACCCCATGGACAACGTTCCTCCAGGTCTTCCTGTCCTCTATCATCTTCTGGAGTCCATTTAAGCTCACGCCTGCTGCTTCAATGACTCCATCCAGCCACCTCATTCTCTGTCGTCCCATTCTTCTATTGCCTCAATCTTTCCCAGCATTAGGCCCTTCTCCAGTGAGTCCTTCCTTCTCATTAGTGGCCAAAGTATTTGAGTTTCAACTTTAGGATCTGGCCTTCTAAAGAGCAGTCGGGGTTGATCTCTTCTAGGACTGACTGGTTTGAACGCCTTGCAGTCCAAGGGACTCGCAGGAGTCTTCTCCAGCACCATAGTTCAAAGGCCTCAATTCTTTTGCGCTCAGCCTTTCTTATGGTCCAACTTTCACAGCCCTACATTGCAACTGGGAAAACCATGGCCTGGACTATACGCACTGTTGTTGGCAGGGTGATGTCTCTGCTTTTTAGTATGCTGTCTAGATTTGCCATAGCTTTCCTCCCCAAGAGCAAGCGTCTTTTAATTTCTTGGCTGCAGTCCCCCATCTGAGGTGATCTTGGAGCCCAGAAAAATAAAATCTGTCACTACCTCCATTTCTTCCCCATCTATTTGCCAGGAATTGAGAGGGCCAGATGCCATGATTTTGGTTTTCTTAATGTTGAGTTTCAAGCCAACTTTTGCACTCTCCTTCTTCACCCAACTATGGTCAGATGTAAATCTTGGGTGATGCCCTAAAAGGCTGGAGCTACCACTTTCGATCAGTTTCAATCTTGCACACCTGATCAGTAACAACAACCACCTCTTTTCTGATAATATTCACAAGGCAGCGGTTATTTGTTCTCCTCCTCCACTGATCTCCAGACAGAGCCCAGTCAACAAGGAGATGAGTTGGGCTCTTTGGCAAGGCAAGCTTGGGTGACCTCTTCCAGGCCCTACCACTCTCAGCTGGCTTTGTAATCCAATGTACCCAGAATTAATGGGACGGCTATGGGAGTCTGTGGCTCTCCAAAGGTGGAACTGCAATCCTAGGTCAGCCCTGAGGATGATGGGAATTGAAGTCCAGGTGTCCTTGACCCCCAAAATGAGCAGCATCCCTCCAGCCACCCTCCAGCTTTTCTCGATTTCCTCCTTGGTGGCACTTTTGACAGACCCACAGGTGCCTGTCACTTTTGGGGTGGGTCTGGTTTTCATCCTCACTTCCAAGATGAAGAAAACACCAGGATGATAGAGTTGTCACTCAACTTTCTGACACCCCTTAGATCAGGAGTATCCAGCTTGACAACTTTAAAGGCCTGTGGACTTCAACTCCCAGAACTGAGATCAGTTTCTGGCAGTGGAGCAGAAACTTGGCTGATGCTTGAGGCGGTCCCTGGAGAGCCTGGTTTGGGATCCAGCGTCCCGGTGAGGTTGGGGAAGGGCTGCAGAGGAGAACTCCGCAGGATCTGGAGGAGGCCTCAAGCTCCTGAAGAGGGCGGAAGAGGATGCGTGCGGCTCTTCCCACGAAAAATGGGGCTAGGGCTAGGCTATTCCGCTGGGATCTTTGGGGGCTGCTTAAGCTGCTTGCAAGGGGTGGTACACCTGTTATAGCGAGTGAGGAGAACCCAGCCAATTGTGATTGATTCATTTTGTTTCACTAGCGTTTTTTCCACCACTCGTTCGTTCTTCGGGTTAGAATTGAGTCATCATAAGGGAGGGAGGGAGGGAGGGAGGGAAGGAAGGAAGGAAGGAAGGAAGGAAGGAAGGAAGGAAGGAAGGAAGGAAGGAAGGAAGGAGGGAGGGAAGGACCAAATTATGGGGAAGAGATGAAGGAAGGGAGGGAAGGAGGGAGGGAGGGAGGAAGGGAGGAAGGGAGGAAGGAAGGAAGGAAGGAAGGAAGGAAGGAAGGAAGGACCAAATTATGGGGAAGAGATGAAGGGAGGGAGGGAGGGAGGAAGGAAAGAAGGAAGGAAGGAAGGAAGGAAGGAAGGAAGGAAAGAAGGAAGGAAGGAAGGAAGGAAGGAAGGAAGGAAGGAAGGAAGGAAGGAAGGACCAAATTATGGGGAAGATATGAAGGAAGGGAGGGAGGGAGGAAGGAAGGAAAGAAGGAAGATGAGAGCAAGAGAGAGGAAGAAAGGCAGAAAAAGTTCCAAGTATCCTGTGCCTCTAGCTGCTGAATACCGACAATATTGCCCCGTTATCCCCTGATGGAGACGCATAAATTTGGATTCCGTTCAGACAGAAACCAACTCCATTCCCACGAGGGTTTCTTCGAGGGAAGGAGGGAAAGAGGGAGGGATAAAGGAAGGAGGGGAGCTTAATCCCCCACCCACCCAGCCCCGGCGGCAAGCAAATGAGAGCCCACCCGCGTGAGAGCGAGCTTAGCTCTCTGCCCCTCACCTTTTTTTTTTCTTCCTCCACCCGCCCTTAAGCTTGAGATATTCCGGGCAAAAGATTCGGGATTTTCTCCTGACGTCACGCGGCTCCCCAGCTCCGGCTTGTCCAGCCGACGGTTGGGCAGGCGCCCGCTTGACGCTTTATCCCGCTGCGCCGGGCCAACGGACGGGCTCCCCCCTCCCCAATTTCTTGCCAGCAAACTCCTGCCCCCCCCACCCTCCCCAAACTCTTTGCCCGTGCGCTCTCTCTCTCTCTCTCTCTCTCTCTCTCTCTCTCTCTCTCTCCCTCCCTCCCTCCCTCCCTCCCTCTCTCTCTCTCTCTCTCCCTCCCTCCCTCTCTCTCTCTCTCTCTTTCTCTCTCTCTCTCCATCCCCCCCCTCTCTCTCTCTCTCTTTCTCTCTCTCTCTCCATCCCCCCCCCTCTCTCCCTCCCCCTTCCATTATTTCTGCATCTCAGCGATGCTTTCCGGGGAGACTCGATCAGGATGAGGAGGGCGAGGAGACGGGCGGGCGGGCGGGCGGGGGGGCTCGGGGACCGGCTGGAAACCTCCTCCTGGCAGACGCCCGGCGCTCGCCCTCAGTTGCCACCGACGCGCGGGCGGGGGAGGGGGGAAGCAGCAACAATCCGGAGTAGCGAAGGGTAGCGAAGGAGCGTAAAGCTCCCCTCCCGCCCTCTCCGCCTCCCCCCCCCAATTAAGAGGCTCAGCGGATGGAACGAAGGGGGTGGTAGTTGAAAAGGTGGGGCAGGAGGAGAGACCCGAGATAGAGGATTTGGGAAGGGGAAGAAAGGAGAAAACCGGGGAGGGGGGGCAACCTTCCTCCTCCTCCTCCTCCCCCTGCCCCCCTCCGTCTCATTCGGGGTCCAAACGCGAGGATTTGGTCACCCGCGCGCGCACACGCGCCTCCACCTCGGCCAGCCGCCGCCGCGATGTCTTTCCCCCAGTTTGGCTATTCCTACAGCGCTTCTTCACAGGTGAGTCCAGCACTTCGGCAGGGAGGGAAGGAGGGAGGGAGGGAGGGGGGGGGGAACCGGACCTCCTTGGGCTAGAAGTTCAAGAGCCCACGGTCAGCTTTTACCTTTTTGAGGGGGAAGGTTTTCTTAAAAAAAAAAGAAAAAGGCCCACAATTGGCTTTTCTTGGTTTGCTACTCCCAGCAGCTGGAAAGAAGAGGCGCCCGTGTTCTGACCGCTCCCCCATAACTCTCTTCCTTCCTTCCTTCCTTCCTTCCTTCCTTCCTTCCTTCCTTCCTTCCTTCCTTCCTTCCTCCCTCCCTCCCTCCCTTCCTTCCTTCCTTCCTTTCCTATTCACCCATCCACCAATCTATCCATCCTATCTCTCCTTCCTTCCTTCCTTCCTTCCTTCCTTCCTTCCTTCCTTCCTTCCTTCCTTCCTTCCTTCCTTCCTTCCTTCCTTTTCACCCATCCACCAATCTATCCATCCTATCTCTCCTTCCTTCCTTCCTTCCTTCCTTCCTTCCTTCCTTCCTTCCTTCCTATCCACCCATCCACCAATCTATCCATCCTATCTCTCCTTCCTTTCCTTTCCTTTCCTTTCCTTTCCTTTCCTTTCCTTTCCTTTCCTTCCTTCCTTCCTTCCTTCCTTCCTTCCTTCCTTCCTATCTATTCACCCACCCACCAATCTATCCATCCTATCTCTCCTTCCTTCCTTCCTTCCTTCCTTCCTTCCTTCCTTCCTTCCTTCCTTCCTTCCTTCCTTCCTTCCTTCCATCCATCCATCCATCCATCCATCCACCCATCCATCTCGGGACTATGGATCAGAGCCCCTGCGCTTCGCTGCTTCTCCCTCTTTCCTCACCTCGGTCATTCCCTGTACCTATGGAAAGGGAAGCCGAACTGCCCCATTTGGGGAAGGGGGCTCAGGAAAGCATGGGCCCCTCTAAACCCGGTTATTGGCCGGAGAGCGAAAACAGATAAGGAACGATCACTTTCTTCTTTTTTTTTTTTTTCCCTTTTCCTCTTCCTCTCCTTCATGGATTGGGAAGATGGAAAGTGAAAGTTTGACCAATAAATCCAGGACCTCGGAGGGCGGTTTGTCGAAAGGATGAACTTAGAAATTGGGTTGACTTCGGCGAAAAGATTCGCGCAGTTTGTGACTTTAGGAACGGGCTCGCTCGGGAGTCACTCCCGATTTGAAACCGGAGTCCTTCGGGGGTCAGCGGAGTCTCTGATTAACAGGACATTCCGACTCCGGGGGGGGGGGTGGACTTCATTCCGAGGTAGCTGGCCGGAATCCGGGAGCCTTGTGGATTTCTTATGAGAGATTCCTCCCAAAATATGAAAACGCAAACAGGCAAACATCGCCAAACGTCTTTAACCGCCCCCATCCCTATTTCTCCGCCCCCCCCCGGTTATTTGCACAGCTGAGTCTACATCAATTTTTCCTCCTTTTCTTCCTTTTTCTTTTTAAATCTTCTTGGTTAATTCAGAAATCGAAGTTTTTAAGAAGTGACTAGAGATGGTCACTTGTCTGAAATGTTATCGGTTCTCCTGCTCCAGCAGAGGCTGGTCTAGAAGACCAAGGTCCCTTCCAGCTCTGTTCTGTTCTATTTTATTTTATTCTATTCTATTATTATTCTATTCTATTCTAATGCTGGTCCCCCCCTTCCCCTCCCCCCGCTCTTCTTTCTATTCCCTTTCTACATCCGAGGCATCCTTTTATATGAAGCAGCCTTCCTCTCTCTACCCAGCCTACTCTGGCTGATCCCAGAAGTTCCTCCACTGAGTAAACCTGCCTATTCCCCCTTCCCCGAGCTGGACATGATAATTTGCGGGGTGGGTGGGTGGGTGGGTGGGGGCGGCGTCTTTGAAGTTTCCCCCTTTGGCTGGCAAGGTGGCAAGTCCGCCCGCGCTCGCGCAGTGCTGAGTAAATCAGGGGAGCAGGAATTCTTAGAATGAGGAGTTGCGTGGTTGACTTCGGAGTGACCCGGGTTTTTTTTTCTCCCAGCTCCCTTTGCTATTTTTGTTCTCTCCCCCTTCCTTCCTCCCCCCCCTTTCACAGGCTCTCTGGGCCAATTGGATCTCTCCGTGTTGATTCGGAAGAACGCTTCACTTGCGTTTTGTGTGTGTGTGTGTGGGGGGGAGGATGATATCAGGGGCTCCCAGAATCAAAAAATTTGTAATTAATCCCAAACTTACTTTTCCTTCCTTCCTTCCTTCCTCCCTCCCTCCCTCCCTCCCTCCCTCCCTTCATGTCTTCCCCATAATTTGGTCCTTCCTTCCTTCCTTCCTTCCTTCCTTCCTTCCTTCCTTCCTTCCTTCCTTCCTTCCTTCCTTCCTTCCTTCCTTCCTTCCTTCCTTCCCCCCTCTCTCCCTCCTATCTTTTTCTTTTTCCTTTCTTTTTCTTTCTTTCTCTTTCTCCTCCCTCCCCCCCCCTCTCTCTCTTATGCAGATTTTCGTCTCGGCCAGCTCCAGCGCCACTTGCTGTACCTCGGCTTCCCGAACTGCCTCCGACGTTTCCTCGGGGTCTTCCCAGCCGGCGACCCTCGGCTGCCCCTCTTACGAGAATCGGCTGCTGGCCGGATCCAGAACGGAGCTCAACGCGGCCTTGGGGATCTACGGCTCGCCCTACACGGCCGCCGGGGCCAACCCGGGTTACGCCAACTACCTGCCCTACAACGCCGACCCCTCCAGTTTCTACACCGCGTTGGTGAGTGGCCTTTCCGTTGCCGATGAGTCGCTAGAAGAACAAGGACAGAAAGACGCTAGTCCCTGTTGACCGGGCAGGTGTCTTAGAAATCAGAAACGTTCAGTTCCCACCAGAAGCCAAATGGGTGTTTGCTTAAAAACAAGCCTGTTTCAGTTCCACTGTGTTGATGCCTCGGAGCAGTGGGGGCGAACCTATGGCATGCGTGCCAGAGGTGGCACTCAGAGCCCTCTCTGTGGGCACACAGGCCATGCCCTGGAGATGGCAACCATCCCTCTTCAACCAGCCGACCGCTAACTCGCTGAGGTCTCACATGGCTGGATGCATCCCAGCACCCATGCGCTCGCTGGCCTCTGTGTGCAGGGGCCGATGGTGTCAGGCAGCAGCCACCCCGGCCTCACCTTGCCCTGTGACAATGGCACCGCCGCCCTGCCTCGCCTTGCCTCGCCTCACCCTGCAGGACGAGCCTCCTGCCCACCGCCCCACCTGGCAGAGACCCCCTGGCCCCCCACAGGTGTCCCTCCCCACGAACAACATTGAGGGGATCACGCCCACTTTGGCCACTCCCACCCAATCTGCCATGACCCCAGCCACGCCCATCCAGTGAGCCACGCCCACCTGGCACCCGGCGATAAATAAGTGGGTTTTGGGTTGCAGTTTGGGCACTCGGCCCCTAAAAGGTTTGCCATCACTGCCTCAGAGGATTCAGGGCTGCAGGCCTCCCCGAGCGAGTCTTGCTCAGAAGCCAGACGTCATTTGTGGGGGAAATCACACGTATTAAGAGAATAGCTTCGCGGAAATCTGGAAGGACTTCCCGCCGAGTCGAGGCTGCCTTTTTGCAACCCTTAATTTGGAAGTGACTTTCACTTCTCCCAAGCCCGTTTGGTACCAGGACCCCACGTGGAGTTGATTGGAGGGGAGGAGGAAGGGGGAGGGACCCCCCCAAGAACCCCTGGAGAACCTTCTGGCAAATAGACAGAGATCAGATCCATTTACCCAGGGGGTGTTTTCAGTTTTATCCGCATTTATCTTCAGGGAGATCTAGTGAACCCTGCAGTCAGGGAGAAGAAACAAGACAAGCAAGAATGGAAAATGATATTACAGGTATCTAGGGAAGTTAGGGCGACCTATCAGTTTTATTAATAACTTTGGATTGTAAGTGACTTGGAGGCAGGGCCTCTCCTCCTCCTCCTCCTCCTCCTTTCCTCTTCCTTCTCCTCCTTCCTCTTCCTTCTTTTCCTCTTCCTTATCTTCCTCCTCCTCCTCCTTTTCCTCTTCCTTCTCCTTTCCTCTTCCTTCTCCTTCCTCTTCCTTCTTTTCCTCTTCCTTATCTTCCTCCTCCTTCTACTCCTCCTCTTCCTCCTCCTCCTCCTCTTCCTTATCTTCCTCCTCCTTCTACTCTTCCTTTCCTCTTCCTCCTCCTTCTCCTCTTCCTTCTTTTCCTCTTCCTTATCTTCCTCCTCCTTCCACTCCTCCTCTTCCTTTCCTCTTCCTCCTCCTTCTTCTCTTCCTTCTTTTCCTCTTCCTTATCTTCCTCCTCCTTCTACTCCTCCTCTTCCTTTCCTTTTCCTCCTCCTTCTTCTCTTCCTTCTTTTCCTCTTCCTTATCTTCCTCCTCCTTCTACTCCTCCTCTTCCTCCTCCTTCTTCTCTTCCTTCTTTTCCTCTTCCTTATCTTCCTCCTCCTTCTACTCCTCCTCTTCCTCCTCCTTCTCCTCTTCCTTCTTTTCCTCTTTCTTATCTTCCTCCTCTTTCTACTCCTCTTCCTCCTCTTCCTCTTCCTCCTCCTTCTCCTCTTCCTTCGTTTCCTCTTTCTTATCTTCCTCCTCCTTCTACTCCTCCTCTTCCTCTTCCTTCTCCTCCTCCTCCTCTTCCTCCTCCTCCGTCTACCAATGTCTTTTTAAAATCAGCTCCAGAGAGTTCAAATAAAAATTACAAAAAGAGGAGAAGACTATTCTGTCTTGCAAAGGAACAGAGAGAGGTGGGGAGAAGGAGGAAAAGGAAGAGAAAGCAGAACGCCTCGCTCTGCCCTGAGTCACCTGCCTACCAGAAATGCCCAATTCTAAGCAAGCTTTCAAGGCCCATTAAACTCAATAGGATGCCACACCTTCATAGTAAGCGATTAGACATGGCAGACCCAGATCCTGGTGTATAAAGGGAAGTCTTCTTTCCTTTTTGATTTGTCCTTGTTTAGTACTTAACAGAATCACAGAAGGGACATTGGAGGTCTTCTAGTCCAATCCCTGCTCAAACATGATTTGTGTGATGTTAAACCATGATTCACTCCACCACGCCCTTCGGTCGTGGTTTGCTGAATATTTGTTGAATAAGTTTTATAGATCTGCAGGACTCCAAATAATTGATAATCCCTGATTGTTGCCTCCACGCTAGGCACTGAGGCAGAAACGAAACAACCCACAAAATAGTTCAGTGCAATGTATGTACCTGCTTTCTACATTGGAACTTGGGGGATGGGGGTACGAAAGAGGTAGATGCACATGCATAGCCTTTTACCTGGTTTCCCTTCCCTTCTAGAATTCTCAGTATGACTTGAAGGACAGCTCACCGGCTTTACATGCAGGCATTGCTCAACCAACGGCAGCAGCCTACTATTCTTACGACCATTCTTTTGGACAGTATGACAGGTAAGAGATTCTGCCCTTAGATCTGGCACAGTAGCTCTGTTCCGGACCCAGTTGACAAGTCTACGTGTGGGGTCCTTGGTGCTCTCCCAGCTTGGTTGCTTTCTTGCAGACGTGTCATTACCCAACTAGGTAACATCATCAGTGCTAGAAGAAAGGGAGGTTTGTGGAGAAGAGGAGGAGGAGAACTGTGGGGTCCTTGCTTCTCTCTGAACTTGGTTGCTCTCTTGCAGGCATGTCATTACCCAACTAGGTAACATCATCAGTGCTAGACGAGAGGGAGGTTTGTGGAGAGGAGGAGGAGGAAAAGAAGTGTGGGGTCCTTGGTGCTCTCTGAACTTAGTTTCTTGCAGATGTTTCATTATCCAACGTCATCAGTGGTAGAGTTTGCTCTCTATTTTACACTAGTGGCTTGCCCTGTCAATGTTGTTGGGCTTGTTCTTGATAAGTCCTTGATTAGGCTGTGTGGCCACTAGTACATAAACAGAGAGCAAACCCCTCTCTTTTGTAGCGTGAGGAGTTGTGTTGAGACAACTTCCTCCTTTCTTTGGATAGTCTGTGAAGCTTTGTGTTTTTGGCCTTGGAAGAAGTCATCCCAGCTCATTTCTATCTGCCTGTTAGGTATGGAACAGTGGACTTTAGCAATTCATCCAGACGTAAGAATGCAACCCGGGAAACCACCAGCACCCTCAAGGCATGGTTATATGAACACCGAAAAAATCCTTACCCGACCAAGGGCGAGAAGATCATGCTGGCCATCATCACCAAAATGACCCTCACTCAGGTCTCCACCTGGTTCGCTAACGCCCGCCGGCGACTCAAGAAGGAGAACAAGATGACCTGGTCTCCTAAAAATAAAATGGGAGATGAGCAGAGGGAGGAACAGGGAAAGAACAGGAAAGACTGTAGCAGCGACAATGAAGACAAAGGTACATGTGGAACCCTAGTATCCTTTTTTTCCCTCCCTAGAAATGGGAGATAAATTTGCATAACAGAATATCAAAGATGTTCCATCCTAAAGTCCTTTCAGTACAGCAGTTGATGCTCCACACTAGCCAAGGAGATGACTTCATAAGTTCTAGACGTCTGGCTGAAATCAACCATTTCCCCAAAATTTTGAAGTTGGGATCTTCCCCACCTTCCAATGTCCTTATTCTAATTCCCAGTTAAACCTCTTGGAATACCCTAGATTGTGTGTACTTCGGCTCCCATCAGGCCTTGTCAGAACAGCCCCTTCAGGATGATGGTACTTGCTATCCAACATCTGGAAGGCAAATGTTCCCAGCCCTGACTTTGAACTCCTGTCCTCTTGGTGGGATGATGTTATTAGGTTATTTTGTGGTAGTCCCCGAGAAGCCAAATTACCGACATCTCTATACGTAAAACCAACTTGACTTGCTCTTAATTAACTCCTTAAGGTGACTGTTTTCCGTTCTTTATTCCTTTTTGTTTCAAACCATAGACCCCAAAATCTGCAAAGAAGAAAAGGAGTTGCAACTGAGCGATCTGGAGGACTTAGACGAGGAGGAACCAGGCTTGAAGGTTGAAGATGAGCTGAAGGACGGTCTCCTAATTGGCAGAGCATTGACCGAGTCTGAAAAGAACAGCTGTACTGGGAGCTCAGCTAGTCATTTTCATGCTTTTTCATGTGCCAAGCAACGTTCCCCCATTACAGGGCACTTTCTTGGCCACAAGGAGAATAACACAACAGGAAGTCTTGCAACTCAAGGCCAACTCTACGAAACTCCAGAGAAGCCACGCATCTGGTCCCTCGCTCATACGGCAGGAGCCAACATGATTATGGGGTCCGCCAGCCACCCTGCTCCAAGGACAGAGAGCCCTGATTGTTTGGTGCTCAGGGGAAGGTGCTCTGGGACTGACGGACACTGCCTTGAAGCGAGGCCACTGGGCAACCTTGCCAGAACACAACCCATTCATGACAAGGCCTTGGAAGAGCTGCCACCACCAGCTAAAATCTTTAAGAGTTCAACCTTCAACCTACAGTCCATTGCACTAAACTATGCATCCTACCCCATGCTAGGGGAGACATGTCAGTATGCAACAGGAACAGAAGGTAGTTACCTTGGGAGCCTTTTCATCTTGTTTTATTTTCAGATGGTCCTTAGTTTGGCAAACGAAAGAAGTTCATGTAATGCCCCGAAGTCCAACACAGACGTTTAAACTCAGGAGGGACCAATGAACACTTAGCTATTTTCTGAAGTAATTATGGGTCTAACATCCTTGTCTTAATTTCGGCAGCATGAAGGAAATAGGGCACTCTGCTTATTTTGAAAGGGGCTGAAGAATTTAAGCTTTGTAGGTCAACTTTGGAATTGCATAGAGGAATATCATGGGTGGGAAGAAACCTCCAGCTTAGGGTCTAATCCAGAAATGTGTGATCTTTACCTACAACTCCAGTGAAATTGGCTAATGTACATGTGAAATGTGATGGCTTGCACCAAATTCAATTTAACTTTTCTTGACTGATGTGGGGAGAACAACCTTCAGCTTATAATTAGCAAATGGATACTTCACACCTTAAATAGGGCAAGCAACCAATTTCCCTTTTTTATTTTATTTTTAAAAATTAACTACTTAATAATAATAATAATAATAATAATAATAATAATAATAATAGTAATAATAATAGTAAAGTTGGAAGGGACCTTGGAGGTCATCAAGTACAACCCCCTGCTCAGGCAGGAAACCCTATACCATTTTGGACAAATGGCTGTCCAGTCTCTTCTTAAAAACTTCCAGTGTTGGAGCATTCACCACTTCTTGCTGCTGTTGTTATTGTTTATCCCGAAGGATTGAGTGGGAAATTGCAATTTGGCCTTTCTATGGTTTGCCCTCACAGTAGAATATGGCCACTGTGAGAAATAGTAGGCTTTGGTTACCTTTTTCTCTTCTAAGCATTTCTACATAAAACACCCCAACTGCAGTGTGAATTCTATGATCAACCCTTCTGAAGCATAACACAATTTTTGAAGCAAGTGAGTAGAGCCATTTGGGAACAATGTCTTGATATAGTCTCCTTACATCAAAGGTGTCCAGCCTTGAGAACTTTAAAACTTCTGGACTTCAACTCCCAGAATTCCCAGCCAGCCATGCTCACTGAGGAATTCTGAGAGCTGCAGATCTTAAAGATGCCAGAGTTGGACACCTCTGTCTTAAATTAAGGAGGTCATCAGTCATCATTAAACCAATTCACAGTAGCAATAAACTAATATTATTCTATCTTGCTCAGAAAAGAAGCAAAAAGTGCTAAATACATCTTCAGAAATCTTTTGTATATTTATCTAAAAAGAAATGCAACAGAAAACAAATAAGTATTTAGGGCTTTAAAAGAAACCTTGGAGTAATGGGGTATAACATATTGGAATTAACTCAAAACTGTACTGATATATCTGTTGTTGTTATTGTCATTCTTCCATTGAGTTGTTCCTACCACGACACTATTTTTTGCAATATGTTAAAAAAAAGAGCACTGTTTATCTTATTTTTAGATTAGGTTAGATAGCCTTTGTTGTCATTTTTTCCTGTAGGCACAACAGCACACATTAAAAATGAAATTGAGTTGCTTGCTCTCAAAATGTACACATACATAACACACATTTAAAACATACTATATACAAGGTATGTATAGACCTACACCCTTACATATAAGTAACATATAACTATTTTTCACATCCCATCCTGAATCACCTCGCGGTGGGTGATATACAGATGGGATCTTCTCTAGGAAACTGTTTAGAGATGTAGCAGGCAGTATCCAAAAGCAAGTTCACAGAAATAATTATTTCTGTACGCTTTCATTATAGCTGGTTTTAATGGTAGAATGCAACCAGGGAAACGTTCACTCAGATGAAGCGGGATGAGTTGGTTCCAAAGATCTCATGAATGCACTCTTAGAAAAATGGATAGAAACTGACCAAACTTCTTTGCCTCCTCTCAAAGCATCTCTGGGCCTGGAGTCATTGGAACATTGTAGGAGATACTATAGGAAGAAGCCGGAATCCATGACAATTACCAGTCCTTTTGTATGAATAAATACTTATGTGAATTCAAGGTTCTTCAGCTCAAGGATGAGCTCTGTAAACCAAAGCATCTTTGCATGTCTGAGTGTAGCCTAGGATTTTTTTGGTGAGCCAGTTCCATCCAAAGCTGAGAGAAGTTTCCGTTTCTCTGTTATGACAGGATTTAGGAGGAGCATCCGGACTGCTCCAAGTTCTCTGGACCTGAGTGATGTTTGTCTCAGTCAACATAAAGAGAAACTGAGAACAGCTTTCCGGCCGGTGCTGAAGAGGTGAAAAAAGTGAGTCGGAAGGCTGTTGTGTTGTACGGAGAATATCCTTGAACACAGGCTGTGATCCGTTCCTAACATCCTTGATCCCAAGCCGTGTTATCTGAAACATTTGGACTCTGAAGGATGAGGTCTTCATCCAATTTTGGAGCCTCCAGCATCTCATAGGCTGTGGAGCCGTTTTGTTTTACTATTTCAATAAAGGGAATTATCTTTCCAATTCGTTCCATGCTTTCTCTCCCTTTTTATTTTGGCCAGAAAAATGCTATGAGTGCATTCATTCTCATCCTAAAATTAAGGGTTTGGAGGAGATTTCATTAAATCATGAAAAATAAGAAAGAGAAACAAAGTCATCACCACCAAGAAAAGGATACAGGAATCAAAAACAATGTGATTCAGTCTGTTATTTCTTTCAGCCAAGTGTTTTCTTTAAAAGAACATGCAAGGGTCTAAAAGCAGAACATTTATAATAGTCTAATCTAGTACCCAGGCAAAGTCCACATATTTTTTTGATCTAGTCTATCCATTTGTAGTGACTTTGATTAATTCACAAAAGACCAATGAAGTAACTAAAATTTAACAGGAGATATTTCAGATAACAGAACACTCCACATTGTCCCATTGTATTTTTAACATGACAACGGAAAAAACAAAGCGAAGCAAAATTCTAGCACTTCAGCCGATTGGGATTGTCTGTAATTGTCATGCAAAAATTAATGCAGTGGAAGCCATACCAATAGCAACGTGGTTGAAGACCACGTTGTTCAGAATCCAAATTCAACTCTATCTGCTTTCATATCAATATATTTAAAAAGGCCACCTGCTCTCTACCAGTAGATAAGTCCTTTACTAGTTCCTTTACTAAATGATCAAGATGCGAATAGAGTACTTTATCAGAAATACTTTATCAGACTTTTACTTTGGCTAATGAGATCCCTTTTCTGTCTTTCAGGTTCTTGAAAACCACTATGTTACTTGAACTTCTCAAGAAAGTATGGAAACATCAGGCTTCCAGGGAAGACAGCCGTTATCTCTTTGTCTGTCTCATTTTTTTCTCAACACTCTTCAGAGTATGAATGACTGTTACAGCTTTTCTTGTCAGAGGAAGGGAAAAGATAACACAACTTTTACCATCACAAGGCCTACCAGAAAACATACATAGGAACTGGTTTTTCTATCTTATATGAGCATCTCTCATGCACTACGTTTGTCATCAAACTACGTTAATTGAACTATGACTCTCCAGTAAAATTCTGCCAATATATTTTGGATTTTTTGAGAGATCTTGGCGTCTATTGTAGATCTGTGTTATTCTCTGCATAATGGAAACTAACAATGTGGTTATTGAACCAATCTCTTTCTTTCTTTTTTCTTTTTCTTTTCATATCCCAAATATGTATGGGATGTGTGGGGGTTAACATCTTTCCAACAGGTTTTCAGATTTTTCTTTTTTTGAATATTTGTTTTCCCCCATTTTTAAATTAAGTGTGTTTGTGTGTTCTGTTTCTTCAAAAGAGTCCTTTCCTAGTTCAACCTGCACATTTGTTTATTATTGCCTTGTACAAAGATACCATGGAAAGTATTTTTAAAACTCTCTAATTAAAAATCCAACAACTGAATGCTGTTCAAGAAAAATGTGAAATGTAAGAGGCAGGAAGTACGTAGGTGAGAAAAAGAGAGGGTGGGGAGGGAGGAAGGGAGAGAAATAGCACTCAGTGAGTTGCATTACTATCAGTACTGATTGAATTCTCTCAGTTTTGCTGCTTATATAATATTTTGAAATCCTGGTTTGGACAATTTCCTTACTGATGTGTTTTTCCCACTATCTGTCCACATGGTTCTTTCAGATTTATTGTACACTCACAGTTATTGTGTCAGGTAAATTCAGCTTGGGGAGAGGTGTATCTTGAACCTGCATCAGAATACAGGGGCTCACCATTGTGATGTGGTTCACACATTACTCTAAGATAAGTCCCTCTGTTTGCCCCTTTGCCTGTCCATCTGTCAATCCATCTGTCCATTCTTCTTTTTTCCACCCTAGCCATGACAGAGGCTTCCAGGATTTATCCAAGGATTAGAGCATCCCTGGTGAGACCTGTCTTAGCCATGAATCACAAATCTGGGTCCCACTTAATTGATTCTATAGTTTGGTACCCGTTTTCGAGTTTTACATTCCTCTAAATCTGATAATTTTGAGGCCAGAGTTAAACAAGGGCATGAGCCTGGCTCGGATACCATGGACAGCTCCAAAGTCATCAACCTGCTCTGATAAAGGTCTAGAAAAGGTCTAAAGCAGTGGTTCTCAACCTGTGGGTCGGGACCCCATTTGGGGTCGAACGACCATTTCACGGGGGTCGCCAAACAACGCAGTCCGCCATTTTTTCCCCTTTTCTTTAGCTGTGCTACTCCCTTTTATTCTATTGGCTTTTGAAAGCCAATAGAATAGACTCTCTTGAATAGAATCTAATTCTATTGGCTTTCAAAAGCCAACAGGAATTGTCCAGGCTGTCTCTGCCCTGCTGAGCCTGCCAAAAGTCCCATTCTGCAAACGGTGCTGCACCAGTTGAGTAGTCCTCAACTTACGACCAGTTGAATAGTCCTCGACTTACGACCGATTGGGAGTCGCGGCATTAAAAAGGTTGAGAACCACTGGTCTAAAGAGAAACATTGGTGAGCAAAGTTGCTCTCAAGTAGATTGGGAATATTCAGTGGCATGGCAATCTCACGACCCTTATCCTTTCTGGACTGGATTTCTTATTCAACCAATCTCAGTGCTTTCTTTATGAATAACTCATCCTAATTGGCGTGAAAGTTTGTCTGTGAAAATCTGCCTGGCTTGTCAATAGGGGCAACAATATTTTCTTTAAGGCAAGGAAGGGATAAAGTAGGACATTCTTAGTGGGTCATCATCCCAGTTTAGTTAAAAGAGCATTATTGCCCCTGACAAAGTTGAGGCAGAAAGGAGTACATAACTCGACATTCTTTCTCCTTAATTAAAAGTGTCATCAAACACTCTCTGGGCAGACAAAGAAACAGAGCTGAAGCCCAGAGAAGAATGAAGCCTTTGTTCCTTGACTCATTGGAAGCCCATAATTTAATCACTGTGCTAATTAAGAGGTCATCTGCAGATCAACCCAAGACTAGCTTTCCCCCAAGTTCATCGGGGTCAACATTTTACAGTGTGTCATTTGTGATCAATATTATCCAATGTCTTCTGCTTTTATAAATCAGTGGGATGGATCTTGGTTATTGAGTAGAGACTGATACATGGATCAAGAAAGGAGCAGAAGATGAAAGAGTGAAGCGTAGAATAAAGACCAGGATTGGAGATAGGTTAAAAGTCTACATCTTCAGGCCAATGGCATCCAAATATTCAGGGAAGATTCTTAGGTGTGTGTAGCTGATGCACATTTGATTTCCACATCCAGGAGAATTTATAGCCCTGCAGACAAACCTTTTCCAATAGAGAGATGTTTGGAGAGAGATGAAAGGGCTGACCAGACACAAGTGCATTATTTGAAATGGGAATTTGCATGATAGGTGGCTATATCTGAAGTCCTAACCTTTCTACCAGAGTCCTCACCATCTATGGAGATTCTCAATCATCCAGGTCCACGGTTGTCCCAAAGGTAGGCAACTTTTAGACTTTCTTTGTTTTTCCTTGCAGATGTTTCGCTTCTCATCCAAGAAGCTTCGAGAACTGAAGAAGCTTCTTGGATGAGAAGCAAAACGTCTTCAAGGAGAAACAAAGAAAGTCTAAATGTTGCCTTTTAAAAAAGCACCTTTGGGACAGAGTCCTCAATCCAATTTTGCCGAAAGGAAACTACACATACCGTATATGCCGGCGTACAAGGCAACCCGGCATATAAGACGACCCCTATCTTTGTCACCGAGCTGCATTCCTAGAACGCCGTCTTATATGCCGGAAACTACCAGTATTTCCGGCGTATAAGACGACTCGGCGCATAAGATGACCCCCGTCTTTGGTGCTGATTTTAGCGCTTGCGGAAGTCGCCTTATATGCCGGAATATACGGTAATTCAGCAAAAATTAGGAGTGATTCCAAAAATACATTTGAGGGTCAGTTAATCCTTACAGCTAACCTCCAGAAAGCATTCAGCAGCTGCCTTTGCCTTTTGTAGCATTCTTTGAACGGTCGTTAAAATAAATGGTTGTAACTTGAGGATGACCTGTAATTGAAATTGGACCCTAACTCCGCAAATAACATCTGTTTTATAGATTATATCAATGGTGGTTGTAATTTTTTTCACACAGTTGTCAGCTGCTTTCAAAGCGCATCCTGGAACAAACGTAGGCCCAGCTACGTTTTAGTGCATTTACCAACGGAATAAAAATTAAAAAAAAAAAAGCAGAAATGTTTACGTGCTGTGGGTTTGCTGAGTGTCACTTGATCCTTGGCAAATGAAAGGGACATTATGGATGATCAATCATAGGTAGCACAGTTTTGATAACGTCTGAAGTTAACTCCGAACACAGCCATGGTGTTGAAAAAGCAGTTTCTTGAGTTGAAAGTGGTACATTTGGAAATCTATGTGACCTAACCCTTCTTTCCCAGAACAATGTAATGTTTAAAGAATGATTGTTCATCCAAGCTCTTCAAACTAAGCACCATTTGATGATCTATGTGTACTGAACGTACGTACACATCCTTTAATCTTAATTTAGATCCAACTCTATCCAACTTCATAAATCGTCATTCAGGTACCTAGGCATGATCTATTCATCTTTTCTGTTATGCATCTCCTTTCTGACATCCTTTTTGGGCGAGGACAGGAGATCAAGGAAGGAACAACCCAAGCCGAGGGCTGACCTGCAGTTTGCAGGCACAGAAATTAAGCTGTAGAAAGATAAACATGATTTCAAGCCAGATTTTGAAGGATTAGTGCTTGTATTAAAGAGTATTAGCCCCCCTTCAGAGGCTTTTGCAAGGCAGACCTCTTGATATCTCCTCCCAGTCTTTCTCAAGAGGTACGTACACCAGGTACATATTGATATTCCATCAAATGGCCCCATCATGTCTTTTATGCCCTGAAATCTAGAAACAAATGTCAGTGGATCCTGCTATTTAAATCCCAAGACTGCCATGATCTAATGTAATGCAAAACACAGTTTGGGCCAATTTTGTCCTAAGGATAAAGAGACGGCACACAAGCAGACTACCTTGGAGAAAAGTGGACTATGGATCAATGGCTTTGATCTTTGGAGGTTTGATGTTTAGAGGAGGAAACTGAAAATCTTTTTCAAGCTGGACCATTACTCATGACCTCAGTTATGGAAGCAACCAGAAATGGCACCTCCTACTTATGGGTGAATATGGGAAACCTATCTACACTTAACTCTCATGCCACACAAATGTTTAGCCATCAGGCCAACCATTTCTAATTGTTGTTCTGGTAGAATTCCAACTCTGTTGATTTTCTGTCAACACTGAAAATACTGTATATTCTTGCTTTGACAATATGCAGAACTGTCCGGTATTTTTAGAGTTAATGCAGAGCAGAAGAGGGTGGAGGGAAAAGCCCAGGAAAGAGAGAGGAAGGAAACCTTTGACCTTCACACTAATTGGATAACATGATATATGACAGCTAATTTAGGGAGGGAACATGCTGATAATTTAATTGCTCAGGGGAAGAGAATTTAGATCTTGGCATACCTTCGTTATGCCTGTGCCGACATTTTGTAATAATAAATGACTTTAGGAAAATCAATGCCTGGAAATTCTTTGAAGTGTTTCATTAGCCGGAACCGTAACATTTTCCTTATGAAAATGTTAAGATTTTTAACATTTAAAATTTTTAAATCTTTTAAGATTTGCTTTGACTTCCCCTTCCCTCTTCTTCTCTTATTATTAAAGGTCAAACAGGCCTTGCTGCAGATTATCCAGCTATCTCCAATTTCCCTGCAATCTGTCATTCCAGCAAGATATGTATCGCAAATCTCTCAAAATATAATCTTTTGGAATCATATTCTGAATACTGTTTTGATTAAAAAAAAAATCAGAGCTAGGACCGATGTGGAACTAATATAAAAAAGACTAGCTGTGTGATGAGCAGACGCCTTCCACGTTTAATAATCAAAATAAACTAATAGGTTCAGCCAGCTTGCTCTTGTTAAAAAAAAGAAAAGAAAACCCTCCATGCATTCATTAAACCCAATGATTAAAATCTGTTGGAAGGTCTTTATTACATAGTAGGTTTTTGAGACGCAAACAGGGAAGAAAACCGGATAGATTTTTCTAGTTTTCCCAAGCTTGTTTTGTCCTATATAGCAGTGATGGCGAACCTTTTAGAGACTGAGTAGCCAAAAACTGGTTCCACCCCCGCTCCACCCCCTGTCCCGCCCCTGCTCCACCCCCACCCCATCCCCCGCCCCATCTGCCCACAGGGCCACTCATTGCCTGCAGGGCCCACGGCAGATCACCTGGGTAGCCCAGCAGCGCCATGGCGGCCATGCCCTCTGCCCATGTAATGAGGTGTGAGGGCAGAGCCTTGTCTACGCTGCCTGGCTGCCATGTCCTTGGCTGCCCTGCTCCGCGTGGGCCATGCTCGGAGGCGACTCTCCTCCAGGGGGGCTTCTGGTGAGGAGAAAGTTGTGGGGGGAGGCGAGGCTGGGGCAACAGCACATGTGCCCACAGAGAGGGCTCTGAGTGCCGCCTCTGGCACCCATGCCATAGGTTCGCCACCACTGCTATATAGGGATTGCTCGCTCCAAAAT